GTTATTGCAATATTGCACTTATTCTATATTTCTTTAGGTTATTTGGAATGAAATTTTGGCCAATGAACTGGAAATTGTAGGAGCTAAAAGAATATGCATGAATAGAGAAATGGCTGAAAAACTATATTTAGTACATAAAAGTAAGACTGATCATTAATGTTTATAACATATTTAAATAAAAGGTTAGAGAGGAGTAGTAAAACATTGGAATAATAAAATAGAAGTATTATTTTTTGAATGAAATGTTTCTATCATTTAGTTGCATTTTATAAAAGAGGATTTAGACTACAGAAGGATTGCGAGAATTGTTATGAGATTAATTAAATAGATATTGGAGCATTGATTTTGTGATAGTGTAATTGAAAGTGATTTTAAATTCAAAAAAGGACGACAATTATCGTTCGAATTTTCAAACTAAAATTATGGCAAAGTTTGTAGAAAAAAAATTGTTCTGTATTTCTGCTAAATATAGCTTTCTTTTCTAATATTTTGAAAATCGTTGCGTTATGCTTACAGTGATTTTTTTTTTTTTTTTTGATATTTTTCATCACTTTGAGCCTCACAGCATCTTTGTCATCTCAGAATTTCCAGTTTCACTTCTTGTCGTTAGGATGAAGAATTCAGTACAAAATAGTGATGCACTTTCGACCTCGGCCGATATTTTTTAATTTTTTGATCTTTTCAATTCATATCTCGAAATATTAAAAATTTTAGTAAAAAACTAACTGACTAATAAACTAAGGAAGAAATCGAAAAAAGATAATAAAAGCAAGCTATTAAATGTTCATCCTTCATTGATTGTGAACATTAATGCTTTCTGAAAAACCAGTTATTGTTTTACATGTTATTAACGATACATCATTTTTAAAGGTACATTTTGATTGCTGCTTCATAACTGCAGTCATAATCATCTATTTCTGTCTCATATGTTTTTTTTTTGATTTGCTAGAGTTGGCCGAACTAATTTGAAAATCCGCAAGGAATGATATCTTCATTTAAGATATTCTATTTTCAGTACTTGCATTTATTTCACTTATTGTTATTTCTCATTACATTCAAATGTTTTTCTGCTCTAGCGCTTATTAAATCAGTTCTAGTTTAAGATCTCAGTCTTTCACTAATTTCACAACATTCCGTACCATCAGTCACACTCGCTTCTGACCTTAGCCGATATTTTTTAATTACTAAGTTCTTTCCAGTTCATATCTCGAAACATATAACTGTAATAAAGGACGGCATAAGTATATGAGTACATAAGTATATGAAGTGCGAGAATAACTAATAAGAGCTGTCATTAAACAAGAAAAACTATGAAATTACCCTGGAATTGAATTGATTAGGCAGAAAATTAAATTTAATTAAACTTACTCATATCGTTTAAGTAATCTTTTTCAATTATTAACTATTATGATCTTTGATTGTTTAATTACTAATTTTACGTGTATATATAATGTGTATACATTATATTTTTCCATGGCAGTAGTTTTTTTCCTTTTATATGAATTATAATTGATTTGCTTTGCAGAAAAATTTTTCTACGAACGACTCATTCAGCATGTTGTAAGGTGAGTAATTAAAACTAGAAGAATGTTGAAAGTTGAGGCTGGTAAATAAGAGAGGAGAAAAAATGAAAAGAGATTTTTTTGTTTGAAAATAACAAGTATGCAATTTACACAGTGATTCTGGCAATAGCAGTTTTCACAACATAATTAGAACGTGACGAAATTGTGTTGCAATGAAAAATTAAAGCTTTATAAACATTGAAAAAAAAATCATTTGAGAGAGCAATTATACCGCATTTCAAAATACTTTATGAGTTATGTTGTCCATTCATAAATTTATACTCATAAAGTCCAATTTGAAGTCTTTTTACTAAACATAGTTATTGTCAGTGAGTGATATCATAGTAAGATGAAGCTTCAAGAATGCCAGAAAAGATTCTGTTATATGCTGGCTGCAGAAAATTTTTTCGATTTGATTAGTGGAGTCATTAGCAGATTAGCAAAGGTGAATAAGTTGATTTGTTACTTGGTGTCATAAGTCTGATGACCATCAGGAATAGTAAATGTTTTAACCTGAAATGTCATGAATTTAGTGGACCAGTGATAGTGATGAAGCTTGGATGTACAACGGGTAGTGCAATTGAACGATGGCGTACATTGATGGGACCGTCAAAAATGTTGCGAACATTGCAGTCACAGAATGTTTCATCATTGCGAGCCCGTTTTGCACTTTCGGACACACGTAATTTGGTACATGGAGCCGATTCACAGCAAGCTGCCAACTATGAGTCAAATTTATTTGCACCATATCCAAAAATTCATCTTCAAAGTATGCTACCAAAAGCTAGTTGCTAAGATGTATATCTTTAATGTTACATTCATCTCATTTGTTTTTAATCATTTAAATAAAGCTCAACAAATAACAGATCAGGCCGAGTTGTCAATTGATGTAAAGTATTGTAAGCCTTAAGAAAAGTAGTGTTGCTTACCGTTAGCTTCTTACACTCATCAGTTTTATTTATTATTCTAAGTTCTTTTTTCAACTTTTCACTCAAAATTGCCTCTTCATTCTCTTCGTATTTGCACTATTCTAGTGCTGAAATTTAATGATGAATATGTAAGCCCCTTTGAAACACTGTCTTCCCTTTTATTTATGTACGAGCAAGTGAATTTATTTTCCTAACTTCACTTCCATCGATCCCTTCTTTTCTTCCAATTCTCTTTACCTGATTCGTGAATGAAATGTAACAGGAGACGAAAGAGGGAAGCGATATGAGAAGAAGAAGGTTGGGGAATAAATAGTTAAATTGCCTTAGGCAATACCTCGTGATTAGTACTTTGATGGGCTCATGTTTATTGGTGTCGTATTCTTATGGAACCATTTTACTACTTTTGAGTTTTCAATTTATTAACTAATTTTCAAGCATTTTGCAATTAATTTAATCAACGCAAATTGGCAACTGATTGCATTATTCTAATTTTATACATTTCCGAAAGTAAAGACATTCAGTTTTATAGCATGGAATAGATTTTCCAAATTTGAAGTATCACTGCATGAAATATATAGATGAATATATGTATAGCGATAAGTAGATGGAATATGAATATAATTGACAAACATAGATTCAAAAAAAAAAATCATTGTAATTTGGAAAGGAAAGGAAATTCATACAACAATTTCCCCATTTTATTTGTCGTATATCGCCAAATATCGGATCTTTCTCATCTCTCCCCTCCAATTTCTCTAAATTCCTTAATAATTCAATCCCCCTAAGGGGTGATCTCGGACATCTTTTCTGTGAAGAAAAGAGAAAATTTGTCACCAGTTTGCTTATATGTCAGATTTCGGGTTCCCATTAAAATGTCACTTTCTCATTCTTTCAAATCATGAAAAGAGCAATGACTTGTACTGTAACCTCAGTGATTTTATTTTTCATTATTATGTTCAGGAAGTAATTTTATTTATTAGAAAAGTAAATACTTTTTTTATTTCCGAAATGAAACACTTTCCATAACTAAAGCACTATAGGATCCATTTTCAATTAACAATGAAAAGCAGAATAGTGATATTGATATAATTAACGACTTCTCTTAAAGTCTGTTTCATCTTCCAAATATCATTTTGTAAAGTTTATCCTCTCTTTGTGCAAATTTTAGCGATTACTTGTTTCAATTGGATAGTGAAGAAGAAAAAAGAATTTTGCAAATTTAAAGATGTTTAAATGATACATTTAAAATTTGATTGAGTGTAATTTTAATAAATAGAAATAAATTAATATTAACGAGATTCTATAATTTTTTTTCGATCTTCTATCTCAAATAAATTTTGAAGAACCTCTGTATATAAAAAATTAAGTGATTCCCATGATCCGTTTTCTGTATCAACCAAAAAAGTTTTATAATGTCACTAAATCTCAATACTATCAATATAGAATTTGTTTCTCATGTTAAAACTAATTTATTAATCTAGCAAGTCATGTATAATTTATGTGAGTCAATTTTTGAAAAATGACATTATATAATTATCTTAAAATCCAATGCTGTTAAAATCCAATGCGATTTAAAAGAAGGAAAAAAAAACTGGTTGGAAATTTTAGTCGGATAACATTATTTTTTATTGCATACGCATTATAATTTTCATTCTTTATTTACAAAAATAAAAAGAGGAAGGGAGAGGGAGAGAAAAAAGGAAGAAGGAAGAGAAATTAACAAAACAAGCACATAAATCATGATGTCATCAGTTAAATTATATAGAAATAAATTACCGGAACGTAACGAAGAATATACGCATGTATACGTACATGGACAGGCTTGCGACTAGATTCTAAACGAGGAACAAAAAATATCGGAAAAAAGAATGAGAAAAGTTATACGAAATCTAATTTTTGTTGTTGACTATTAAATTAAACACAATAAAACTAATTACTATTATCATTCTAATCATTATTACTTCTATTAATTGACTTATGATTACCATAACTGTTGTTGTCCTACTTCTACCATTGCTAAAATATATCTTGAAATTTATCGTTGATTCATTCAATTAAAAAAAAAATTTTAGGTATTAGGAGAAAGAAGGCGAGGAAAATAGAAACGGAAGGCGACGATATGCTATAAAAAGAAAAGGTAACAAAAAATAAAAATTAAAAAAAAAAGAATCACAGATTAGGTGGGCTATAGGCGACAACAAACAATCAAAAGAAGAAAAATAAATTACACATTAATGGAAACTTCTGTTCCTGTATTTGAAAAATTTAAATTGAAGATGCGAAGGAATTAAAAATATGTCTATCTGATCGAATTGAGCTATTTTAGTTTCATTCTTTTTTCGTTTTCTCTTTTTTTTTAAAAAAAAGTAAAGAAAAGGGAGGTATGAAAGAGGACAAAAAAAGGGATCTTTAAAGCTTCTTTTTTTTCTCTTTCTCTTTCTGTCTCTCTGAAATATATTTTTTAGTGGAGATTAAATTAACACAAAATAATTGAAGGAAATTAATGAAGAAATTTTTGTTAAAAATATTTTGCAAAAATGTCAATTCGACCAGCAAGAATATGAAAGTATACAAACTAGCGAGAACTATAAAAAGTACCTAGCCACTTGCCTGCTGAAGATCATTTTAAATTGATGGATGAT